GTTTCAAAGTATGGGAAGTGGAAATGGGAGAAATCATCTATAGTTTGACCAGGGTTTTCCTAATCAACTAATTCAAGATGTTTCCGGTCAATGAAGAGTAGAACTGAAACTAGTGGAATGGGAACACGTTCCACCCGGATGCAATTCTTTCAACCGTTTGAATATTAGGTTTGGCTATGACATTGATATGCAGTCATTGATGCTATTTCGATAGGCTTAGGAATAAATCAGGAAAGAAGAGAGATAAGTGGAGGATTGTAGAGAGAGAACACTTTGTCTCAAACCGTTTGATTCCGTTGGTCGGGCCAACTAGTTCTGGCGGACTTCGTAAGGTATTCGAAAATGCATACGTGTCTAGTACCGATTCAGTCTGCAGTAACGCGAACTCGTCAGTATGCACGGATGGTCACTCAACGGAGTGGAATACCAAAAGTTCGTGCTGACACGTTCTCTCTCCCTCCCTCACACACACGTCCGCACGCTTCCATAAAACCTGTGTTGTCTAACGGAGAGACAGGGTGATTTTGTAAACGTTCTCTGCTTACTAATTTGTGAACTCATACCTACAGTTGTGTGGGTGGTTAAGTACGAATAGTCGCATGACTGAATTTTAGAGAGTCTAAGTGAAAACCGAACGATGCCTCAGCATTCAGTGTCTACTGAATTCATTCGGATAGATGTGACTAGGACCAAACGAATGTGTTGCTCAATTCAGCTGTGTTTCGACGAGGTGTTATGTGGCGAAAATGTTATCGCTAAAGCAGGACTGCCGAAGCTCACACAGGGTTTAAGAAATTTTCTATTATTTAGAAACTAACTTGTAGACGAAATTTCAAACATTTAAGAAAGAGAATAATTTATTGGTAAATGGAATAACCAAAGATAGTGCATGAAATGTAAACGCTTTTTTAGTTTTTTTTTAAGTCAACTCGTTGAGATGAAATTAAATTAAAATTTCACAAACCATAGCAATTTGCCTGATAACCGGACATTCGAAAACCAAGTAACAAGGAAAAAACTATAACGGTCGCTACTACAGCCACCACCACCACCACCACCACCAGAAAAGCTAACAAGTCCGTCAACATCGATTGCCTCAATCATCAATAGTTGCCGGTCTCATCAAAACTTACCTGACTGGTGGATAGGCGGAATCGATTGGCTTCCATATACGTCTCATCGGTGAAGATTTCCGGCAGTTTCCGACCGTGCTCCAACGCAATCTGACGTAAACCGAGCAGGTGGTTATCCACTCCGTGTCCCAGTATCGTTTCCAGCATTATTTCAGTCTGCCAATCCATTGCCTTGCGTAGTAATCGAATCTTCTCATCGACCTAGGTGAGTGTGAGAAATCGTGCACACATGATAAGGGGTTAGAGAATTTCCATGGTAAAATGAGAAAAAACTTGATTGGTCGAAAACGCGTAATCTTTGATCTAGGCAAAAAATGTCATGAGTTGTATAGTTAATCTGGAGATTTGCTTCAATCAAAAGGCTCTGACAACCAGGATAAGTAATATTTATATAAATTCTATCACGAGAATTTTCGTCAACATTGAAAGTTAGTGGAATCCGAGTGCATACTGACAGCTTTGTTTGCGAAGTTATATGACCACGTTTAGCTCTAACATTTAATAGAAAACAAAATGGCACTGCAAACAGATTAATAAATACAACCAAATTGAAACTTTGCACAATCTGACTCTGATTTGGAGAAAAGGTATGAAGTAGTTTATGCTGCATCACATGTGAATCCGCTGAAATAGGCTGAAGTGATCGACAAATTTCTTTGGAAGCTAATGTTCCTAATTAGAGTGTTCATCACTTTTATTACAA